CCCCCCCTCTTTTGTTGTATTTCTAGCACCTAGAGGAATGTACTAAGAGATTCTTAAGAGAATGCTTAAGAGAATGAATGAATGAGTGAGTGAATGAATGAATGGATGAAGAGAGTGAATCCCTAAGAGAATAAATCCATAAGAAGACGAATGAATGACTCACTTCAGCAAGGGGCTCTCAGCTTTGCCCCTCTGGGCTCTTGCACTAATCTCCATGCTTGACGGCTTTTGCTAGAATACTGATTCTTTTAACATCACTTTAACATGCCCTGTTCCCAGCACAGAGCAAGGTCCAAACCGCAGACCTTGCTCCTGAAGGATGTCTTCCTCCAGCATTTATCTGCATCCAGCAGTCTCCCTGGAAGCGACCTCCACTCCAGGTTAGTATTTCTGTTTCCCGCTCCTAGAGCATTCTCCTGCCATGCCCCCTCTGCTGATTCCTTCCTCCTATTTTCCAGTGGGAGGAATTCTCACCTAGAGTAAGCAGTACTCCCCGAAGGGTCAGGAAGATTTGGATTAAAATCCTGCCTCTGCTAATTTCTGCATGGCCTTGTTTGTTTTTCTTTGTATATGCAATGTTATTGAAAGAAGACAGGTCAAGGGCATGGCAACATGACAGCGTCCTTGCCTACCTCTCTGGTATCCACAGCCTATCCTAGGAGGCTTGTGTAATCTTCCCATTCCCCAGAAGATGCCCTCTGCCCTCATTCCTTTGGTGCATTTCCATCAGAATCTGCTATCTTCATGCCTATGTGGCACTGACATGTACTTGAATCTGTATCATCCCTGCTCTACTGAATCTTATCTTCCTGTGGGGAGGGGGCACTTGCCATAGGTTTGTTTTCTCTTCAGCTTGCTCATCAGGAATTACTAACTAGATGTGCAATGTTTTAATCAACTCATCCCTTTATTTGGTGTTTATCGAGCACCTGCTATGTGGAAGGTAAGATGCTAAACCCTGTAGTGGGGGGCCGCATAGGCAGAAAAAAGCACATTTGTTCTTAGGGCACTTACGTCCATGGGGCTTCAATCCACAGTGAAAACAGCATTATACACGAGTACTGGGTGTTATACACAACTAATGAATCGTTGAACATTATATCCAAAACTAATGATGTACTATACATTGGATAATTGAATTTAAATAAAAAAAAAACAGCATTATATAATTACATTGTTCCTCCCACGTGCTGGGGAATATGCCAGGGCTGATGGCACAGTGGTGAACAAAATAGGCATAGTATGTCGTATACACTCACACACTAGATCATAAGGCAGAAACTGCCAAAGAGAGCTCAGTTCTAATTTTTGTGGTTGAACACACATCATCTGTGCTGAGAGCACTCTGCCGTTTCTATTGGTCTCTGTAGACCTCTGTCAGGTCACCTCCATATGCCCACCTTCGGGTGGGTGTGCCCCTACTGAAGGGAATCAGATCCAGTGGGAATGCATTGGCTCGCTCCCCTAGACTACTAGGAAGGGCAGGAGACAAAGGAGGAACTCTTCGTCGCTCCTCCTGTTCTGCTTTGGAATCATGGCGGCCAGGGATAATCCCCCTGAGAGGCTCGTGTGAAGTGGGTACCTCTGTTCCTATTTTTCCCATGAGGAATTTGAGACTCAACAGGTAGAAGGCCTGGGCTGCCTGCTGAACTATCCTGCTTCCAAGGAAAGATATAACCACCAGGTACAGTGAAAACCGGAATTTCCCCAACCGTAGGTGATGCAGCTGGCTGGGACTGGGGTGTCGGAGGCAGGCTTCGCTGGGGGGCAGAGAGAAGAAGTGGTTCCTGAACACTTCCGTCTGGCTCTTTCCACTCTGCTCCCTGTCAAAAGCAGCTGGACACCATGGCGGCTTTCTTTTTTTTTTTTTCTTTTTTTCAAAGAATTTCTGGTCCCTTCAAAAATCAGGAAGTTCTGGAAATCAGGCAACAAAACTTAAACTCATGATATTTCCTACCCAAACAGGCACTGAAAGTTCTAAGTTTCCAGATAAGCATTCAACTTCTTGATGTTTATCTAACCCAAAAGTTTAAGCATTCTGAGGTTCATTGGATTCCAAAGCAGAGAGTCACACTATCTCCTTTTCTTAGGAGTTTTTACCACCTATGTTGCTGTGAGTTAGGAGGGGGTGGTGATTACTCTATTTTTTACACAGTTTTCCAGGAATAAATATTGTCCAGAAGGAGTTATTGGGGGGGGGCAAATAAAAAGTTAAAATCCAAACAGTAAAAGATTGACTTTTCAACAGAACATGGTGTCCTACATATCTGAACACCCACAGATACAGATCTCTCCCACACTCACGCCTGCATAGAAACTGGGGCCTCAACCAGTCACGCACTGCTTGTAGAAAGAGCTTGCACATGCTTATAAGGCACAGTGATTGATTCACAAAGGTGTGTGCATTTCCGGAAAAGAAAAAACAAGGCTGAAGCCAATTAGCGATGATTAAAAGTGCCACCATCAATTTGTATAATGGCTGGTACTTTTTCTGAAAAGTTCACTCCCATTATCTCCCTAATCTTCCTGATATGCCCACGATACAAGATATGCCCATTAAACAGCTGGTAACTTTGAGGCTCATCATGTTGAGTGACCGCTAGGAGGACCTGTAGGAAGTGATGCAGAGCAGTTGCTAGAATCCAGGCTATGGTTCCTCTATGAGGAGGTTGTGATCTGTATGTACTAATAATATTGAAAGAGAAGTTCCAGGAACAGCAGTGGTAGAAACAGCCAAGTATGAGATCATGGCCAGCAAGGCAAGTAAGCCTGGTTTCATGAAAAAACAAAAAAAAAACAAAACAAAAAAAACCAAACCTTGAGCTTTGGAGCTACAAACCTCTTCCATTCCTGCTCTGGCTTCTTACTATTTACGGGATCTTATGCATGTTACTTAGCTTCTTTCAACCTGAGTTTCGGTACATGTGAAATGGAGGGTTTTGTGAAGATTAATGAAATATTGTACGTATAGTAGGCACAAACTATATGTCAGATTCCACCTTTAGTCCTTTTCCTCTTGGATTTACCAGAACTAAATAATCACATTTCTGGAAACCGTTACTACTGGTAAGCCACCTGGCTCTCCTTTTTCATCCTAGAGATTCCCCAGGATGTCCACACTTTGTGTTATCTCATGTATTCACTGATGAGAGACACAGAACTGAAAAGATATAACCCCTTTCTCTATGGGGCTCAATGCTTACAGTGTAGTTCATTCGTTCTTTCTTTCCTTCCTTCCTTCCTCCTTTCTTTCTTTCTTTCTTTCTTTCTTTCTTTCTTTCTTTCTTTCTTTCTTTCTTTCTTTCTTTCTTTCTTTCTTTCCTTCTTTCTTTCTTTCCTTCCTTCCTTCCTTCCTTCCTTCCTTCCTTCTTTCTCTTTCTTTCTCTTTCTTTCTTTTTCTTTCTTTCTTTCTTTCTTT